TTAGGTGACGCATTTTCATCCTTACATATGTCAGGAAGAACACTTAGCCGTGTGGATAGAAACGGGCGTCAGCGTTTTGGTCCTTGGTGTGTAGGGAGCCTGGGACTGGGATCAGGGCAGCCCTTGGACAGCGGGCCTCTGCGGGCACACCAAGTCCTAAATTCAGAAGAGACCAGAGTCTATGCAGTGTCACTGCACACGTCATGCCTGCCTCTCGCCAACGCTGGTGAGCCATCCTGCACCATTTTGGCACAAGGTCTGGATCTTCGTGGCCTTGGCTAAAGCACCAGGCAGTCCTCCTCTTCCCTGAAGACAGGCGGAGGCACCTGTCCGTCTCTTCTCCGCTCTCACCGCTCCCCCAAAATGCATCCTTGTCAGGCGCCTCCTGTTGAAAACAACTTCCAAATGTGAAACAGTTGCAGCTGCTTTGAGCCCTTTAACCCTTTGCAAGGATTCCGCAAAAATAATTGATGACTGATTGGCCCATTAACCTTTAAAAAAAAAAAAAGTTTGACAGCCCGGCCTCGTGTAATGAGGAGGGCTTCCTTGTGAAACCAGGCTGATGGCTGAGTTGCTTGCCCCTGAAGAGGCGAAATTAGCCCCACGGGGCCTCGTCTGCATAGAAACTGGACGCAATTAGTGTAATATCCGGTATTATTAATGTCGTTGGGAATAATTGGGAAGGTTGGTTTCGACAGGTTCATGGTGCTAAAATACTATTATAGTGGACCTTTCCACAGCTAACCGTTAAACACGGAAAACTGTTTAAATCCCTGTGAGCCCAATCACAAAACTTTATTAAACAGCCAGGCCCTGGAATGTCACGCTGGGAAACAGCATGCTTCTTTCTGGCCACGGGGGTGGTGGGACTTTGATTTTTCACCATGGGGGGGTCCGGGGCTGGAATTCCTTGGATCCCCGCGTGTCTGTCCAACTAAGAAACACGCTTTTCACGTGGGTGTCATCAGGAATTTCTACAGCCGGAATTCCATTGTATGGAATGAATTAAATATAAGCCGCCAGAATTGTCACTAAGAGTGGGTTTGTATTAGTGAGATGAAACCACTCGAAATGAGACATGACAACGTACGTCCTCGCCGTCCGCTCGCTCATTCTTCACGTTGGGAGTGAGGGCAAGAGAGAAGAGAAATGCCGGTCTGTCTTCCTGACTGATTGGCCTCACGCTGCCAGTTCTTGTTTTCCTCGTTTTTCACCCAGTTGCTGGTCACTGAAATAGCGTCGCAGAGTCGCTTCCTAAAACTGTGTTGGGACCCCTCTGGCCCATCGGTGATTTGAACAGCCTGTCCAGCCGATAATCATTCTTCTTTGAACATGTTAATTGCTGTCTCTACAGAAGAAGGGGAGGTATTTGGGTCCCAGGATCTCCTACCATTTACCTACCGAGTGTCGTGGTCACTGCAGTGGTACGGACGTGCTGGCGAGGATTAGCCTAGAGGTTGTCCAGATGGTGGCCTGAGGAGAGGACCAGGCAGCAGGCTGGAGGCTCCCCAGGGAGTCTTTTCTCCATGGATTAGTCAGGACTGGGGTTGGCGGTGACAGAAGCCACTTTTAAAAGGGTTTAGGCCAAAAAAAAGGAGGGGACAGTGGGTTGCTCCTACAGCCACAGGGAGGAGGCTGGGGTGCCAGTCTGGTCAGCAGCATTCTCACCTGGCACAGGTGGTGGCCTTGACGTTTCCTTCCCGTGGAGGGAAGAGGCACCTGAACCTCTAGGAAGAGGGGAAGGGGCGACTGAGGCCCCAACTCAGATGTGATGACCTGGAGGACACTCACTCAGATCATGTGTCCCCTCCCAGAGCAAAGCAGAGCAGCCAGGAGCGTCACGTGCTCCGATTGTCCTGGTGTGGGTGGAACTGTCCCCCCTCCCCAGGCTGACCGCTAAGTGGTCAGGAAGCCGTGTACCTAGGAAAGTGGCCTCTGGACAGTGCCCGGCTTATCACTGCCACACCCATTGCACCGTGTCACTGGAGCCTCGCGACAATAGGAGAAATGCTCCCCAATAGCCATGCGTCACACCCCAGCATTCTCCAGACGTGGCCAGTTATAGATTATGACTCTACTGACAAGCTGGTGAGGGGATATTTGGGACAACTACTTCTGAAAGAGCCCCCATCTTGCCCTTCTGACATCAGGAGTAAAGAAACATAATAGGGACGTGGAGAGACCCAGCTGGCTCCCATGGGACACCCCAGGAGAGCACCTTTTCTTAATGTCCCTCACAGGGGTATTCCTGGTCTGTGGAATGGTTTCCTTCTGAGAACTGGCCAGGAGCTGAGGTGGCTCCGCAGACCTAGGGCTCCGGTAGCCCCATGCTTTCTGGGATCACTGGATGCAGGACTTGGGGTTTCTCTCTGGCACCTTCTTGTAACTTTATTTGTTGAGCCACCAAAATGTCTGCTCCGTAGGCTAGCTTTCACTTTTGCAGGCATTTATCGCTTAATTCTCACAGTTCTGGGTTTTTGACTCATGGGAGGGAGAGGGTGGGCTTGCGGCTTGGAGTTTATGCCTCATGCAGGTCAGTCATTGGAATAAAAAGTGTGTTTTGTAGGGAAGGCCCTGCCACACATCTTACCGGCTGTATGGCTGGGCAGACGGAGGTAGAAGGAAATGGAGAGGAAGGTGCAACAAGATGGGGGGAGGGGGGACGTTGGTGAACTGTGTTGTCACTGATCACATGGCAGTGGGAAGATGGAGGGTGTGGAATCTGGGTGATTTTGAATTTTATGACTAGCATTAACATTTTAATCAGTAACAAATCGTGAAACCCTAAGAGGAGCATTTGTGGACTAAAGCCGGTCTGGTGTGTGCCTGTTAATTTGATGTGAGAACCAAATATTTGAAGAGTATCAGTATGTGTGCATTGTTTAAATCATTTTAATTTTGGGGTCAGAGAAACAGATGTGAGAACTGTCCCATGTCAGAAGTGATTCCAGAGCTAGAAAGAAATCTTCGGTTGAGCAGAGTAAACAGATGGCAGGCCTGCCCGTGCCCCGTCCTGCCCCAGGACAGACATTGCTAATGGATCACCTTCTCCTGCTCCAGGCGGAGTTAGGAAGGAGAGGCGAACCGTCGTGTGTCACTCCCACAGGAGCTCAGACTTGACAGGGCCCTACCGATCACCTTCAAGATGCCGAATTCCCCGCAGGCTCCCCTGACAGGGCCACACGGGGCTTGAGCCCTCCAGGGAGTGCACCCCAGAAGCTGTCTCTTCCATCTGGGGATAGCTCTGAGGCGAGAGACCCCCCTGAACGTAGAGACAGAAACGTTTAGTGGCACGGAAGATGCTGAAAAAGGAAAACTGTGTCCAGAAGTAAAAGGAACAAGAGGTGAGGGGTGGGGAGGAGCTTGATTTGAAGGCGATGGAGCAGCCATAGAGTAGGTACTGGAGAGCAGTGCCCTTGGAAATTTGCAAGAAATGAACCCACAACAGTTTTGCAAAAGGGGGCGTCCACCTTCCCTACGTTCGGGACCCTTCAGAGCCAGTTCCACAGATTTAAGAACAACTCACCAGGAGGTTACCTTCTAAAAGAGCAGCAGAGCTGATTTTACGTTGAACACAGAACCATTAACATCAGAGCATGTGAAGATTTCACGCAACAGTGTCCCAGCCCCATTTCCTGGCAATGTGCGCAGTGGTTTAGGGAAGGGGTCCCCCAGGCCTGGCTGGCGTTAGGGAGGACATGAGCATCCCCTTCCTGGGCCCTGGGGTCAATGGAGTGAGATGGGAGGGGTCTCCCAGCCACAGAGTGAGGGCTGCTTCCCTCCTGAGACTGAGGGGAAGGAGGTGAGGACGGCCGGACGTGGTTGTCGTTGCTTCGGGAGGAGCTGAGTGAGCATCCATGTCTGGGGGCCGAGGGCTCCTGGTGAGGTCGGGTCTCAAGAACCCAAGAGCACAGCAGAGGTCAGGGGCCGAAGGTCAGGGGTTGTGAGGGGTGAGGGTGCTTGGGAGATGGGCAAGAGGAGCGGAGATTGTGGGAGGCAGAGGCTGGCCCAGTAGGTGGGTGAGCCGAGTGGCCATGGTCAGATGATTAAGATGATAATTAACAGGCGCAGCGGTCAGCTAGGCAGGTCAGCGGGTTCTTATCCTTATTGATAGCAACTGCTCACCAGGTGACGCGATGCAGTGAGCTCACAGCCCAGTGACTGGAAACTTGGAATCAAATGAGATGAGGCGCCCAGTAGTCCAGCGGGAGAGTGCCTAGCGGTTATTCGTGGCGGGTCTTGCTGCTTGTATGTGCCGCCTCCTCTCTTGTTCTGTGGCAGGGACGGGTAGTGAGGAAAGAGGACAGATGCCGGCATTTATGGGGTGTCCCCTGAGTTAGCACATGTCACTTAGCCAGTGGGAAACGCTCCGAAGCGGGTGGCCTTTCCCCCGCTGTAAGGGGGAGGAAAGGGGCCTGGGAGGCTCCAGGACTCGCCCGAAGAACCCGATGTGGGAAGCAGCCTGGCAGGATTTGATGCAAGTTCGAACCATCCTGGTCCAGGCTGTCGCCCATGGGAAGGCTTTAATTCCATCGTCTCCAGACGAGGAGAGACAGTGGGATCCCAGCAGCCTGGAAGGGACTTCCTGACGGAAAAGAACAGAAACCCAGGCACCCTCCCTGCTGTGGTGCATGTGTGGGTCTACACACACATGCAACGAAGACCCCAAAACTGTACCCGGAGATTCTCAGCACTAACTTAGTTTCGCCCCACAGGTGTGGATGGTTGGTATAAGTTACAGGGCACGTTCCTGTGTTGCTTCGTCTGTGCCCATCACAGAGATGCTGCCATCGCACACAGATTTTCCTTTCCTCACCCCCTGGGCACTGAGGGAGACCTCGCTGAACCACTCTGGCTGCGGAACCAGACCTTGAGTGTTTGCCGGTCTGTGGACTCAGCTCTACGCGCTGTGGAACCCAGAGGCACCTTTATGACTGCGGACTGGCGGAGGGCCCGCGGTCACATGAAGCTAAACTCTTCATCCCCATCCTCTGTTTCAGAGCAAGAAGAAAACTTTGAGTTTATCATTGTGTCCCTCACTGGCCAGACGTGGCACTTTGAAGCCACCACGTATGAAGAGAGAGACGCGTGGGTCCAAGCCATCGAGAGCCAGATCCTTGCCAGCTTGCAGTCATGTGAGAGCAGCAAGAATAAGGTAAGGCCCCAGCCAGTGTGCCTCGGTTAGTAGGGCATCGCCCTATGCCCCATGCACTGAGGGGTTGCTGGTTCGATTCCCATCAGGGCACATGCCAGGGTTACAGCTCAATCCCCAGTGGGTGATGTGCAGGAGGCAGCCCATCAATGTGTCACTCTCGTATCCATGTTTCTCGCTCTCTTTCTCTCTCCCTCCTTCTCTCTCTCAAAATCATGTTTAAAAGTCTTCATGATAAAGGTAAGGCCCTTAGGGAGTTGCCCCCCCAAAATCAAGGGCAGCTGCTCAGTAAAGGGGTGTGGAGGCTTAGTGATGTCCAGGGGAGCACAAAGCATCAGATGACACATGACCGACAAGATCCTAGTCCTCTTTCTAAGCAAAAAACTAACTGGTGGAAAAGATTGGGGAAGACTTTGTGCCAATACGTATCAAATATCATGTCAGTCTCCTAGCTTAACCATGTTCCTGTGGCCATATATCCCATTGAAATCTGTATTCTCTCAGCTAATCCCAAACCCCACCTTTTTATTGCAAGTGATGGAATCTTTGGGATTCTTGTCGCTTATGTGGCCACATTTGTTATTTCAGGCAGACCACACTCAGGAAAAGAATGCAGATAGAAAAGATGCACCCTTCTGTTCTCATAAATGCACAAAATTCAAGTCCCTGTCAACTTAGACACTGACTCTTGATACAGACGTAAACAAAAGTAAACACATGGGCGCATGAGCACATACGTGAGCACATGTGTGAGCATGCAGGAAGTTGTCCATTTGCTCAGCTCTGCCATAAAGTCTTTTTGTGATTTTTCAGTAATTAGAGGTAGTTACTTTGCATTTGTGTAGCCAGGAGAAGCTAAATGACTTCACTCTGCATTTTGTAGACCCTGCCCCGTGATATTCCAGGAACAAGAGTCATTCTTCCCATTTTCTTCTTCCCAACAGGGATTTCTTCAACCTCATTGTTTTAATGCTTGGATGTTTTTAATTCCTTTTCTGGGGCATTTTAGAGTCCTAGAGAGCATTTTCAAACTATACTCAACTTAAAACTAAGAGAAAGGATGTTGTCCACCGACCTGCAGTTTCATTTCTAACAATTTAAAGAAATTTCTGCCCATGATTTATGTGCAGCTCTGTCAGGGGAAGGAGTGTATCTCTCAGAAAGATGGAGTGTCTTATTTTATTACCCTCTTTACCCAGGGTAAACCAGTCATTATTATTATAATGTAATTTGCTGCTCTTTTTAAAAGTGGTTTTATACCAAGGTGGGCTGAGTCGCTGCCTCTCACTCCCGAGCATCTCAGCTTCATAGTCATGGCCACAGATGTGCTCCCAGAGCAAACGTAGACGCCCTGGTCTCCTCGCCAGTGGGGAGCCGCGGCGCGTGCCACCCACCGAACGTGGGGATGAAATTTCAGAGCAGGAGTGCGGAGAGCCAGGGTTGTTGAACAAACACATCTCCAAGTTCGGTACAAAATCATAGCGTCTCGGTCAGATGGAATCAGAGGATCTGGAAGCATGTCGCCTTTTCCCTCACACCTGGCCAGCTCCTGTCCGCTCGCCGTGAAACTCAAGGCATCACCTTGGGGCCTGAGGCGCACACCAGCTGTGAAGTGCGCCCCGTTTCTCCCCCTAGACGTTTGCACGCACAGGCAGGCGCTTTCCCAGGCGGACTCACTGAGCGGGAGGAGGGAAGGCTCACGCCTGGGCGTTGCTGAACAGGTGTGCGCATGTGCACATGGAAGTAATACCCACAAGCAATAGCTTGAAGGCAAAATACTGACTAGTTGAGAATGAGCTACAAGGTGTCTTAGCTGCCTGTGGATAATTTAGTAGGTAGCAGGTGGAGACAAATATATATACACCCATGTGCTGCAGAAATGATACAGGGAGAGAGAGCCGACACATCCCTGCTTGTGTGTACACGTGTGCGCGCACACACACACACACACACACTCGAGGTGCCAACATATTAGTAAACAGTTAAACATACTTTGAATACCTGGGTATCTAGCCAAAGGCATAAAACCCCAATATTTCATGGTGCTACCTAGACAGTAGCAATGAATAAATTACATTATTAGGTGGTAAGCAATAAATTATTTCATATCAAACATGAAGATAGTTTGACTTATGAAGAATTCTTAAACAAAAATCAAGCTTATTCTAAATGTCCTCTGAACTGTAGTTGGCTTTTACCATTATATTAAATGTATGCAGTGTAAGCCTTAAGAACGGTATCTATTCCTTTACCTAACGTCTCGACGACCAGAAATAATCAGTAAATAATCTGGGATTTGTGCAGAACTTTAGCACTCTTGACAATGGAGAAACTTGGACCAACCTAAATGTCCATCAGAGTGGACGTCATAAATAAATCATCAGAAGTGGAATATCATGCAGCCATTTAAAATGGTGATGTTGGAGAAAACAGGGCAGCATTGAGAGACAACAGTATCTCATTAGGCTAACCTGGCAAGTTTCAAAGCAATATATACAATGTGGCTTTTAAAGAAGTACTTACCTGTGTACAGGTGTGCTTAGGGAAAAACTGCAGGAATAGATACCAAAATGTTAATAAAACTTAATTGTGATGATCATATCATAGTTTATAGATTTTCATGTTCTTTTCCTCCTTCGATGTTGCCCTCACATGCTTAGAGAAGACATTCAAGTGTAAGTTTAAGAAGAACCACGCCCAGCCACTGTCCCACTCCTCCCTGCCCCACACAGGCCAGTGACTTTGTTGTTGTAGCAACTGAGACAGTTTGAGGAAACATCAAGGGTGGTGTGGCCATAGTCTCCTGACCAGGAATCATGACGTTTGTCTTAATGATGCCGATGAAGCCTGACCCTTCTCTTATAAGCGGAATACTTGTTTTTCATTCTTTACTCTTCACACCAAGTAGACACACGGCAGGGAAAGCACATTAACCAGTTACGTTCCCCAGGCGGCGGTTGGTCCCGTTCCTTCACAAAGGGTCCAGCACGTGCCTTTGTCATCATGTCTCGTAGGGTCATTCTCACCCAATAAATCTTAACATGGGGGTGCCCTCACAGCGTCTTCTCAGCGTGACTCTTTCCTGAAGATACTGGAAGAGGAAAAATTGTTTGAAATTGCCCTCCTGCCATATTTGCTCACAATCTGTTTGAATTTTCTTTGGCGTTATGAGTAGACATCTGTGTTTCTCTCAGGCTTCTCATATCTTGCATTTGTGTGTCTTCTTGTACGTCCAGTCCCGGCTGACGAGCCAGAGTGAGGCCATGGCCTTGCAGTCGATACGGAACATCCGAGGGAATTCGCACTGTGTGGACTGCGAGACCCAGAGTAAGTGGGCGCCGGGGAGGGCCTGGGCTTCCGCAGTGCAGAGGGTCGGATTGGGTGGTCCCCTGCGTCTGACTTTTTTAGTTCCTGTGGCTCTGTAATAGTTGGTGCTACCGGAGGGCCCATTTATGGGGAGAAATGTAGAGCCTGAAGGTCAAGTTACAAACACAGCAGGTTGCGTAGCCCAAGCTCTGGCTGCTGCAGTTACTCAGAGAACAAGGGGAGGTGGAGGGGCCGAGATCAGAGACCAGTAGATGACACATCGACAAAGACTTCTTTATTTTTAAGTCAAACTATCCAGTTTGGGTGAACATGCTGGGAGATATCCCATCCACAGAGTGACAAAGAACTGTTTGGCAACCTACATAATGGCACGGACACCCCTCACTTGGCTGTGCCCCTCCAGGAACTAAGCTGGGGTCAGGGGCAGATCTAGCTTCAGAGGTGTTCCTCACAGCGCTGTGTATAGAGCAGAACATGGCAACATCGCCAATGGGCAAAAACGGGGAACTGCCCAAACCGGCGATGGCAATTGTCTGTTTGGTGGGAAGTTCCAAGGATTTCCAAAGCCAGATATTTCAGATTAGCCACCAACATGTTCAATTTTGTAAGACACCTTAGATCAGGGGTGGGCAAACTTTTTGACTCGAGGGCCACAATGGGTTCTTAAACTGGACCGGAGGGCCGGAACAAGAGCATGGATGGAGTGTTTGTGTGAACTAATATAAATTCAAAGTAAACATCATTACATAAAAGGGTACGGTCTTTTTTTTTTTTAGTTTTATTCATTTCAAACGGGCCGGATCCGACCCGCGGGCCGTAGTTTGCCCATGGCTGCCTTAGATAGTAGCAAGAACTGACCAGGGAGTTTTCAAGCAAGACCCCAGGGAGGGGTCTGGATGTGAAGTCTGACTGGCTAGTATTTTGTTGCTGAGATGCCAAGGGCAGTGAATGAGCAGTGATGGTCTGATCCCACAGGGCCCTCTGCTCTTCTTCCCACAGACCCTAACTGGGCCAGCTTGAACCTGGGAGCCCTCATGTGCATCGAGTGCTCAGGGATCCACCGGAACCTCGGCACTCACCTCTCGCGAGTTCGATCCCTGGACCTGGACGACTGGCCCATCGAGCTCATCAAGGTGATGTCGTCCATTGGGAACGAGCTGGCCAACAGCGTCTGGGAAGAGAATAGCCAGGGGCGGACGAAGCCCTCGCTGGACTCCACAAGGTAAGAACACGGCAAGAGCCCTAACCGGTTTGGCTTAGTGGATAG